TAAGCTAAAAGTAGAATCAAGTTAAAAAGCCCCTGGGCAGGTAAGTTGAAATGTACTTTTAAAACTACACTGGATGTGTGTTTGCATCATTAAAATATCTTCACAACAACAGTTAAAGCGGCACTGTCATGCCGAATTCTGTTTTTTTTTTAACCCCCCTCCCGCCTCCACTACATCCAATTGACCCACTAGTCACCCCCAAATGCCCCTACGCCCCCCACATTACCTATTTTTAAATCCTTATTTTCTGCCCCGATCTATATTCAGGGCGCAGCCATCTTTGTGTGGGTAGGTGAAGTCCCTGTGGGACACGTCATCAGCCCACACTAGGCAGACACTGAGATTCCCGCACATGCCCAGTGAAACACCTGGACATGCGAACGGGAATTTCAGCTATTCATTCATTCATCAGACAGACGAATGAGTGAATAGAAAGATCAGCCGAACAAACTAACACAATGTATCAGTGTTAGTTTGTTAGTGCAGGTTATTACAAGGAGGGAGCTACCGGCATGCAGCTCCCTCCTTGTAATATGTAACTATAGAAGCGGCAGGGAGCAGTGCTCCCCACCACTTCATAAACCCCCCCAGGTCCCCCTCTCACTCTATGGGGGTCAATATGACCCCCATAATAGCACAAGGGAGATAAAAATCTCCCAAATGCCCCTACTCGCTATACCGCGAGTAGGGGCATGTCCACTAAACAGTGAGCAGCCTGTGGCTGCTCACTGTAAAAAACAAAAAAACAAAAAAACAACTATTGGCCCCCACCCCTAAACAGTGAGAATGAGGGGGGGGCAGTACTCCCCCCACCCCTGGGCGGCGGGTGGGGGCCATAATGAGAATTGGTGGGGGGACCTACTGTCCTCCCCCCCGCCCCCACCCCTGGGCGGCGGGTGGGGGCCATAGTGAGAATGAGGGGGGGGCAGTACTCCCCCCCCGGCCCCCACCCCTGGGCGGCGGGTGGGGGCCATAATGAGAATGGGGGGACCTACTGCCCCCCCCGGCCCCCACCCCTGGGCGGTGGATGGGGGCCATGAAGATAATGAGGGGGGGGACCTACTGCCCCCCCCCCCGGCCCCCACCCCTGAACGGCGGGTGGGGGCCATAATGAGAATGGGGGGACTGCCCGGCCTGGTGGATGGGGCCATGAGATAATAATGAGGGGGGACCTACTGTCCTCCCCCGACACCCCACCCTGGGGGTGGGGGCCCTAAGTCAATTACCCCCCCCCCCACCAAGGTGACCAGGGGTCCCCAAGCCCCTAGTCACCCACCCCCACCCAAAAAAAAAGTCCCTACCTACCCCCCTCACCCTAAAAAATAGTGAGGGGGGAATAAAATAACTAACCTGTAAAATAAAATTAAACTTACCATTCGGCGTCTTCTTTTTTCTCAAATCTTCATTTTTCAGCCCCAAAAAAGGCCAAATAAAAAACCATCTTGGCGTAGAATTGAAATGAAATAAAGAGCATCAGTAAAAAAAAAAAACCCCGACGAAAAAACCCGGCAAAAAAATGATCCCATCTTCACCCATGTGGACTCCCGCAGACTGAGCTCACTTAGGCGGGGAAGGCTTATAAGAAACTGCTGCCCGCCCTTACCAGATAGGCCCTAAGAAACACTCTGATTGGTGGGTTTAAGCCAGTCAGAGTGTTCTTCTGTCATTACAATTCAAGGCTTTCCCCGCTGTGTAAACAACACAGAAAACACTATGATTGGATGGCTTGAAATCCAAATGTCCAATCACGGTATATATCATTACAGTGGGGAAAGGATTTAACAATTCTTTCGACACAAACTTACAAATGATTGGATGGATTTCAAGCCATCCAATCACAGTGCTCTGTGTCATTTTACACAGCGTGGGAAAGTTCTTTTGAATTTTCCCATGCTGTGTAAAATTACACAGAGCACTGTGATTGGATGGATTTCAAGCCATCCAATCACAGTGCTCTGTGTCATTTACACAGCGTGGGAAAATTCTTTAGAATTTTCCCACACTGTGTAAAATGACACAGGGCACTGTGATTGGCTTAAACCCACCAATCAGAGTGTTCTTAGCCTAATTGCAGGGCGGGGCAATGCTTTATAAGCCTTCCCCTGCCCTGCGGAGCTCAGTCTGCGCGGACCCCTCCATGGGTGAAGATGGATTTTTTTTTTTGCGCTCAGGTTTTTTTCTTTTTCGTCAGGTTTTTTTTTTTTTTTTCGCTCAGGATTATGATGGTTTTTTATTTGGCCTTTTTTGGGGCTGAAAAATGAAGATTTGAGAAAAAAGAAGACGTTGAATGGTAAGTTTAATTGTATTTTACAGGTTAGTTATTTTATTCCCCCCTCATTATTTTTTAGGGTGAGGGGGTAGGTAGGGACTTTTTATTTGGGTGGGAGGGTGGGTGACTAGGGGCTTGGGGACCCCTAGTCACCTTGTGGGGGGAATTGACTTAGGACCCCCACTCGCTGCCCAGGGGTGGGGGCCGGGGGGAGAGGACAGTAGGTCCCCCCCCCTTATTATATGTATGGCCCTCACCTGCCGCCCAGGGGTGGGGGCCGGAGGGGGGTGGACAGTAGATTCCCCCCCTCATTATCATTTGGCCCCCACCCGCCGCCCAGGGGTGGGGGCAGGGGGAGGACAGTAGGTCCCCCCCATTATCTTTATGGCCCCCAACCGCCGCCAGAGGGGGGTGGACAGTAGGGCCCCCTCATTATCATTATGGCCCCCACTCGGCGCCCAGGGGTGGGGGCTGGGGGGGCAGTAGGTCCCCCCATTATCATTATGACCCCCACCCACCGCGCAGGGGTGGGGGCCGGGGGGGACATTAGGTCTCCCCCCTTATTTTACTTTAGGGCCCCCACCCATCGTTTAGGGGTGGGGCCCAATAGTTTTTTTGTTTTTTTTTACAGTGAGCAGCCACAGGCGGTATAGCGAGTAGGGGCAGCATTTACTAATACTAAGTAATCTTACTTAGTATTAGTAAAGTTGGCTGAAAGACCAATTTAGGTCTTTCAGCCTTTTAGTAGATAGCTCCCTGATACCGTGGGAATTAGGGAGTTATCTACTAAGTGGCTGCATGGTGCAGCCATAGCACAAATAGGATCGGATGAAATTGCGATCCGAATAAAGTGCCGAATTGCGTTCTAAAACAAACGAACATACTGTTCTCATTCTGTTAGAACGCAATTCGGCAGTTTTGTGTAAAATGACAGGAAGCATCGCGGGAACACAAAGGAAAGGTAAGGATCATGGGAAAATTGCTCTGACCAGCAGAAATGAAGCACACTTTGCTCCTGAGCTGGTCAAGCCGAGGAATCCTCCATAAGGCAAAGAGTCCCTACTTTGTCTTATGATTTTAAAGAAAACTAAAGAAGACAGGAAGAAAAGAATAACCGATCCTGAGAGAGGGGGAGAAGAGGAAGAGATTGAGGAAAGGTAAGTTCGACATGACAGTGCTGCTTTAAAGCTGGTTTCTTGTGCTCAATCACCAAAGCTACCATTGGCTCTATAGCAATTTCCGACCATGCACCAGTATTTTTACAAATTAGTACAAAAGATAGTTTTAGACCTAGGTCATGGTGGAGACTCAATTATTAATTAAACACGGCTCAGAATTTAAACGTAAGAAAGATGAATCTTGACAAGAATTGAGGATAAACTTGTCTAAAAAAGAACGCCTAAATAAAATTTGTGTAACTAAGGAACTAACTGAGAAAATAACTAAGATAAAGACATCCATTAAGGATAAAACATATGAGATGGTCAATAAAAACCTTGTCTTCCTCAACAAAGATGGTACCACAACAATAATAAAATTAATAGGGATCTGTCAAATAAATTAAAGAATCATCTTAAAGATAACTCTATTAAAAAAAATAATCTTGGGGGATACCCATTTAACATCGCCCAACGATACTGCTAAGGCTTTTGTGGACTTCTATATTTCTCTATATAATTTAGATGAGGTAGGGGCTAATAAGAGCAAGATTGATCATTTTTTAAGGAAACTTCCAAGAATCAATACAGAGAAATTATAAAGTCTAAATGCTCCTTTTTTATTATCAGAAATAGTAGACGTACTAGATAATCTAAAACTAAACAAGGCGCCAGGCCTGGACGGCTTCTCTGCTATATTTTATAAAACCTTCTCTAAAAACATTACCCCTATCTTTTTAGAGATGTTTACAAACGTCTCTATAGATTCCCCTTTTCCGAAGGAGATGATGTTGGCTTCAATTATTCCAATACCTAAAGTAGATAAAGATCCTACACTTATCACCAACTATATACCAATATCTCTAAT